TAACGCGGGAATACGTGATGACAAGGTACGCGTCCCATGTAATATATGGGAGAGAAGAGTTCTTCGATGCGGAAATTGCGAGCTCGAGCTTTAGCAATTTTGCGACACTCGAAAAAATGTTTCACTGGCCCAACTAGAATCCTAAATGTTGTTGTTGTTGTTGTTGTTAAGATGTATCACTGTTTTTTGCATTTGCCAGAAAATTGTCTGTTGTAGAATTTAGTAGTAACATCTAATGATATACGCAAGAAAATTTAGATCTAACCAACTAAATTGCACAGTTACTTTTATAAGAGATGTGGCTATTACTTAATTGGACCGAAAGAGACTTTTTTTGCTAAATTTGACAAATTGTTCGGATATAAATTCTGTCATCTCTATAAAGTGGATACCAAATATATTGCATATCGCTTGTCGTTTATCCATTTCAATTAATTTTTCATAGCTAGAACAATTTTTGCTATGACAATTAAAATTTTTTTTTCTTCTTATTATTGCTATGACATTTTTGTAAGAGGATTGAGATATTATCTGATTGGGCGCCATAGACATTTCTTTGCTAAATTGTTCAGAGAAATTGTTCACATATAAGTTCTGTTTATATTAATTAGATACAAAACATGTGTCGCAAATGCTTGCTAATCATCTTTTTTATCTCAACTTTACATTTAATTTTTATCTTAATTCAACATCGAGGTCGCAAACACTTTTATTAATATGAACTCTCCAAAAATATTACGCTGTTATCCCTGAGGTAATTAATTCTACTATAATAAAGAAACCATTCTACATAAATTAATATTATTTTTAATTATATAATTTACTTAATATAATAATCCTCCCAACTAAATTAAAATCTTTATCTTATCCTCAAAACAAACCTCAAATAAAAACTCCAATAAAATTCTTTCAGGGTCTTCTTCTCGTCCTATAAATTCATCTAAACTTTTTAATTTAGTCATAAAATTCTAATCATCAATTTGAGACAGTAAAGATCGACTCATTCATCCCCCAGCTTCCAATTAAAAAACTACTGATTATGCTACCTTTGCACAGTCAATTTACCGCAGCCATTAAAAATTTCATAGGTGGCAGAGAGTTGACCTTATATTATAATTTTTCGTATCTAGATAATTTTCGCTGGATGGTTCGCAGGATCAGTTTTTATCAGTGTAAGTTTCAGTTTGCGCGAGCCGCTCGTCGACTCGAGGGGAATGCATCTCTTTGGCCTTGAACAACTTGGACGACACTCGCATCGAACGGGAAGGCTTCGCGCGTTTCTTACGGCACCCACATGTCCTCGGCTGCGTAAGAGCAGCATCGTTGCATCAAATATTCACGTTGCACGCGGCATGCGAGGAATTCGCCTGCTGAACCGCCGGTACCGGTTCATCGGAAAATCCCCGCGTGCGCGTGTGCGTACCGCTAAATATAACAGTAGTACGTAATTTGTAACAGTACGTAATTAATTGCCGCGTCGGGATGAGAAGGTAAAACAGAAGCACGCGCCGTTTACGAATCGCCGTGTTTACCCTTTGACTGTCAATTAGCGAATACCGCCGTACGTGCCAAACGTTGGTCGTCGTCACGTGCACGCACGCGTACGTGGCACGTGCTCGTGTACCTCCGGAAATGCACCGTGGTACTCTCGGAGATACAATAATCCGAACACCGGGACACGTGATAACGTTGTGCGCAAGATCGTGATAATTTTTTATGCGATACCCGATTCATTTAAGTAAGATCTTAAAGCATTTTTTTTATGCAAGACCCATCGAAGTTACATACAACAGTTATTCTTTAAAGCTAGTTTTCTGTATTCTTCGAGAATCAAGATATATATTTTTTCAATAGTAATTATATTTCGAGATAATTACGAATTATTTAGACCCGATAAATCGTCCATGGACGACGTTACTCGATAACGTTATCGTATATAATAT